AACATCAGTCCATAGTTCATTCTTGCTTTCTTCTATTTTTACCATTATGACCTCTTCAAGCAATAACACACCTGAGTGGGCAACTATTTTTATGAATCAGATTATCAAGCGCTTTGAAGATAGTATGAAAAATAGTATCAAACCTACAAGAGATTGTATTGATGCAGTTGTGATTCGAGGGAAGGGCGTAGCGAGAGCTGTAGTCAAGCTGGATGAACGTCTGACCAAGCAAAATAATACCTTCAAGCTGAACGCTAAACCAATCTCGGCCAGTAGACTCGATCTTCAACATATCGATAAAACGATTGAGGATATGCAAACTGCCAACTTTTCCTCTGCTCCTTAACATCTTACAGACAACTGTGAGGTCCCTCTGTCAGGCTTGCCTCTTGAGTCGACCCTTACCGACACCGCCATCCTCGATACAATTCTCTCGAATATATGATTGCCATAGCAGATCCGCTTCATAATGCGTACAAGGAGATGGAGCCCAAATAACGCAAAAATGCAAATAGTGATCATACTCATTCTCTAGTTTTTCAGTGTTCTTCCCCGGTCGTGCGCGATACAATTGTCTCTCACTCTTATAAGATGTCAAATATTCAAACCCAATCACTCTTCAATACGAATGGAGGAGGTCATCTCTCTCTACAGCTACTTTGGCCAAAGCCAGTACATTTGCTGTACACCAAAGCACTTTCAGTGTCTCACGAATTAAAATATCCAAAACCATTTTTTCGTAAACTCACCATTCTTGCAGAAACTGACTTCAAAATTCATCTACCTTTTATCATGAAATACCTATCCTTCAACCGTACTCAGGGAGAACCTACTTAATATACACTATTTGCACCATATTCGCTTCATCAAATCATTCATATTCATCAAGTATGTCTTATGCTATACTGCTGCCTAGAATAATTTTTGCCACTTATGCCTCTTTTAGAACTAATGATTTTATTTTTTATTGGTGATATATTAATGCTAGACTTTTGCTATATTATTGGTATATTACTGCTAAACTATTGTAATATTATGACTAAATTACTGCTACATTAATGCTTGTTATAGCATATCATTGTATTTTTACATTGAATTTGTAACATTAACGCACTTGAGCCAGACAGGGTTTCCCTTAGGCCGAAGAAAGTTTCTATATCTATCTATCTATCTCTCTTTTTCATCAAAAAAGATGCGGTAGTGCATGAGCTCATGTATAAATCTACTCATGAGCGTCGACAAGATTGGAAAGCAACAGGTGTGCGTAATGTGAGGACTGGTAATTGTACTCAACGATCTCAATGATGCGCAGCAGCGCTTTGATGCCGGACCAGCCCAGATGGTACATGTTCCGGCTCTCCCGGTCAATGACCTATCGCTTACTAATTATCATATTTATATACATTTGCCTAATGAAGGATGAAGGTGAAGGCAAAATCATGGTATAAAACTTTGATTTTTGCGCAAAGGCTGAGAAGCGGGTTGAGTCCATGTTTATATACATTTGCTTTATAAAGGATAAAGGTGGAGGTAAGTTCATGCTTCAATGTCGTCGAATTTTAGTTCTGGTACTTCGGCTTTGTACACAAAATCAATGCATGCTTACTCTTAAAATCGCTCCCTCTCTTTGAGTTAAGTAATCAGAGTAGTTTCTTGAGCATTAGCGCACCAGATGTGAAACATCGATGCTTGTGTTGGGATTTTCTGACTTTTCTGTTTTTTTTGATTTTTCTTGATGTTCTAGTTTCTAGTTTTTTTTGTTTCAACTTTTACTTGTTTGATTCGTGTTTTTGGTTTTTTTGTTTTTTCCTTTTTACTTGTTTGATTTTAGATTTTTTTTATTCAAATTTTATTTTTTCTTGATTTTCTAGTTTTTATTTATTTTACTTTTTAATTTTTTAATTTTCTGTAATTAATTCTAATTTTACTTTTTAATTCTTGAATTTTCTTTAATTAATGGATAAAGATGTTTCACATCTTGCAGCTGTTCATAAACAGCTGATTTTTTTTAATTTTTTCAATTTTTAATTTGTTTTTAATTTGTTTTTTTTTCTTTTCTAGTTTTTACTTATTTGATTTCAGATTTCTAGCTTTCTTTTTTAAATTTATTTTTTCTTGATTTTTTTCATTTTTTAATTTGTTTTTAATTGGTTTTGTTTAGATTGAGCTGTGATTTAAAATTTTTATTTGTCTTTGACTTTTTTTTATTTGATTTTTTAGTCTTATTCAATTAAGTACTTCAAAAAACTTCCTATAATATCGAGTCAATAGACCTATCAAATACATTACAAGTTATAAAAAAAAGTTATTAAAAAAAAACATCGACTTCCTTGCACAAGTCATCGCCGAATCAAAATATCGTCCTAGTGGATCGAGCGGTTATCATTCATTGTATTTCATTGTATGTTAGTATATAACATGATAAAAATTTCGACTTCCCTTAAGAAGATACACACCCATAGACACGTATATAATGTACTATACATACATGCAGTAATAAATATCAGATTTGACAACGTACATAATAGTGTGTAGTCTCGCGACGTATACGCATCGACAGCATATACGTATTCTATGTATTATCGTACGCATAAGCAAGAGAGAGAAAGATATCGCAACGCAGTCAATCCCGTGAGCTAAGCCGACTGCTGTTGCTTATGTTGTTTCGTTGCCTCGTGTGTATACGTAAACACAGTCGTACGCGCGCGAGAGAGCGATACGCGCCTCGAGTCTAGGCAGCGGGCAGCAGCAGAAAGCAGTTCTGTAGCTGGCGCGGCAGCCAATCACAGCGCGTAGCGCAAACCGACGCTGTATAGGCAGTTCTACTACCAAAGTTGCGCTCGCTCGGACGGACGGACGGACGGACGGACGGACGGACGCTCGGTTTTTACGGGTTTACCCCTGATGCCAAACGCGAATATAGATGTTTCACATCAAAAAAATTTGAAAAAAAAATTTAGGAAAAAAAATTTTGAAATTTCCTTTACTTGATTGCTCAAATTGTCTATTTCCAATTGGGGTGTTACATCGTTCAAATCTAGAATTTTTCTTTTAATCGGGGCATCGTTACTCTCCATCTCTATCGAATTTTGCTTTTCCTCCCTCCGTTAGCGTTAGCGTTGTCGGTGACTCTACAGGGGTCCGCAAAACTACTCAGGGCGGTTCTACATAAGATTTTTAACTGAGTTTCGGACTCCGTTCGGACGCATCGGACGGACAGTGCCAACTTCGTTATAATATCACTAAACTTAACTCTAAAACTCTAACCTAATTTGTTTGGTCGTTTTACGTAGTCTGCACTCTGCAACGTCAGTTCATAATATTCAAAATGATTGGTACAGACAATTTAATAATTGATTATTTTGCAATTAATACTTTCATGTATGATACAAACCATGTACATTATTATGACGTCGGCAAAAAAAACGAGTTCTTTATCAACTTGCAGAAGAAGATAAACTCCAAATTACAAATTAACATGTCTGGTTAGTAACCTGAATCAGAAAATAGTTTAATTTTTTCCTAATAAATGTAATAATTTGAACTATTTTATTTACAGTTGTCGACGTTATGGATAAGTGGTGCAATATGAGAGACACTTTTTGGAAAATTGATGGAAAATTGAATAATAAACAAAACATTGACATCTCTGAGCAAAAAGCTTATGCCAGATTATATTTTTTAAAATCTTATTCAAATAATTCAACCAATATCGGATCAATGGACATTAATAAACATGGCAAGAGAGTTTCAGCTGCAGGAATTACTACTTCAAAACTTAGTGGTTTGAAACGAGCAGGGTATAATGAAAAGTTGACTTTAAATATAACAGAAAAACAACAATTGGCAGAAACCCAGATAATTGTACCCAAAAAGGTTGACGGAAAGGACTATTGTGCAATGTTAAATAAATATTTAATTGAGTGTGGTACCTTAGTTGATCAGCTGTCAAGTTTGTTAAAAATGCTAGACGCAATTGAACAGTTCAACTTGAAAACTAAAAGTAAAACATGAATATTTTTTAATTATTTACAATAACAAATACAAAAACATGTAAAGAATAAATAAAAAAAAACCATTTTTTTTCAAACCATTATGTGTTTTGCTTTTGTTACCAGCTAGTATGTTTTAATGTCTTTTGTGTTTATAAAATTTCTTATCATCGAGACAAATTATCATTGCTTGATACATATGATGGTTTTTATAATTATATACAAGAGTGTAAGCCAACAGAATCATTATACATTTAATTTATGGCGTGCAATCATGTGTACTCCAGCTTAATTTTACAGGCAATGGAAGATTATTCTAGTCAAACTAGAATATATATAATTTTGAATATAAATTGATTTGAATCTTCATGTCCCTTTTGTTTTTCAAAAAATAATAAGTACTTGAAATATTTTTTAAAATTTTTTACATATCCTATTCATAATCTTCTAACAATTTTTTTTCTTTTCTTTTCAAATCATACTACCAAGTCCATATGCTGGCACAAATTGTGTTCCTGAAGATAGTATCAAATATACTTTGCAGCTTATAAAGAAGCTACATCCAATTTTAACAAAAAGAGCCATAGCTGCAGAATGTGAAGGTTCTAAAGAACCATCATTTATAAACTCACATGACATTGTTGAAATGTTCCTTTCTTCGGACATAGTTAGTTTTTAATACATTTCATCAACTAAATGCTAGATGCAATCGAATAGTTCAACTTGAAAACTATAAATAAAACATGAAATTTTTTCAATCATTTAAAATAACATAAACATAAACATGTAAAGGATAAATTAAAGAACCATTTTTTTCAAACCATCATTTATTTATATGGAAAGATAAAATTCTTGTATAAAATAAAAATTCTTATAAGTCAATTGTTTTTCTTTATTTAATATAAACCTTAATTGTGTGATGTAAAATTAGGTTTTTAGAAATCTGTTTACATAAAAAAATAAGACTTAAAAAACATTATATTATATCAAATACTTTTACTAAATCGTGTAAATTATAAAACGGTTAATAATATAATATCAAATGTTAATTTTATTATTTCAACACTGGTGTGTCTCCTTAATCATGGTTTTGGAAATATCAGTTCAATGAGCACATGCTCAATTTTCCAAAACCATGAATGAAAACAAAAACCTTTTTTTTTTCTTTCCGAGCAGGAATGTTTTATTATAAAATAAATTGTACTTTTTTTTTTATTATGGAACTCAGTAATTGCTGAGTACACAGCTTCCATTTGTTTATGTGGAATAAACCTATATGCTATATTCAAAATCAGTGACAACTTGAGTCTGTCGGAATCATTGTTTAGTCACTTGTGTTATCTCATTTTGGAATATGAGAACTGAAAGTCTTGGAAAAATCTATTTAACGAGCATGTGAATTACAGGTTTGTAAAATATAAAACAAATGTTTTTATAGTTGATAATAGTTTACAAATAAAAAAAATATGTTATTTTAATCACTTGGAAAAGAATTAATTCACATGCTCGTTAAAATGATTTTTTCAAGATATGAGCAACAAAAAACTTAAAATTACAAACTCCAATAACAAAAACACTGTAAAAAAACCTACACTATTATTTTCATTACTGTCCATCATTCTTTCTTCAGTGTTCTGCGAAACTGCAGAAAATCTTTAAGTACATGCTTGAAACAATTTAACTCTTGACCAGCTGGAACCTTTTGAAAAGATTCCCAAAGTATGTTGCTGTAATCTGAACTGGGGTTGGATAAATTGTTTCTTATTGATACATCCAATCCAGCAGTATCATTAGCGGTGGAAGTCGACGGTACAGCAGGTCTACCTGAAGTCGATGGGACAGCGTTAAGGTAAGTTGGGGCTGATACAGCATTTCGAGACGTAGAGGGCTGACAATTAATGAGCGAGTAGGTAGGAGCAACTGATGAACTGAATGGCACGGCACGGTTGAGAGGGTGAGAAGAACCTGATGAAGCTTCTTCAGATGTCGAAGGCACAGCAGGATTTATGAAGTAGTAAGCAGGAGCAGCGGTTGAATTCGATGGCACAGTACGATTTGGACAGTGAGAAGCAACTTCTTGAGATGTTGATGGCACAGCACAATTAAAAGAATAGTAATCTGGAGCAGCGGCTGAAGACAATGGCACAGTACGGTTTGGACAGTGAGAAGCAACTTCTTGAGATGTCGATGGCACAGCAGAATGAAAAGAATAGTAATCTGGAGTAGCAGCTGAAGTCGATGGCACAGTACGGTTTGGACAGTGAGAAGCAACTTCTTGAGATGTCGATGGCACAGCAGAATGAAAAGAATAGTAATCTCGAGTAGCAGCTGAAGTCGATGGCATGGCAGGGTTCAGAGGGTGAGAATAGGTTGATGCAGCTTCTCCAGAAGTTGAAGGCAGAGCAGCATTGAATGGGTAGTACGCTGGAGCAGCAGTTGAACTTTGTGCAGAATTTCTTGGATCAGCAGGAGTCCCAGAGAGATTGGCTTGGAAAGCGTTTAATATATTCTCCATCTGTGAATTTATACGCTTAATCGCACAATTTTTCTCAATTGGGTCAACCTTTTTTTTCTGGGTTGATTGAGGAGCCTGTAGTACTTTTTTCCTTTTTAATCTGTTGCTTTGGTTCAAACTGGACAATACTTGTTTCTGCTGTAGATAGGGATCCATGAAAGACATCTCCCGCATGTATGAAAAATGGATTATTTTCAATCCATCGCCAGACCTCTGACTGTTCATCTGCTTACGAGCCTCTTTATAATCATTTAACAGTTGATTCCATAGACATTCTATATTTTTGCCTGAAAATAAAGATTTTATTGTTGTAAGACACTTAATTATCAAAAAATACACGTTCAATATGATGAAAGTTTAAGTTTTAACAAAATTTAACGCGAAGCGTGTCTGAAAGTTACTAGTTCGAGTCCAGTAATTAAAAATCAGAGGCACTCACCATTTAAAAGTTCGGCATTTCGGTCCACCGAAATTATGAAATTATTAACTTGCGTTGCGATTTCATCGAACCCTCGCTGCCTTTTATGCCCATCTTGGTAATCCTCGTGAAATTTATTAAAAAGATATGGCCTTGACATTACTTCATGGATAATAATTTCCAAACGAAGTGCCATTGTTATAACGTATATAATTTTCAGCTGTTACAAAGCAAAGACACAACCTGTACTTGTGTTTTAGAAACTTGTTTACTCTTCAACGTATCGGGAACAAATGAGAAGGATTTTCTGTTTTACATCGGTTTTATGGTTAACAACTTCTCTCCCCTCCCCAAGTACATCGCTCTTTCAGTTCATCGCTTCCTGCAAAAACAAACGAATAAGTTACTTGCACAGTAGTACTTCAACAGTCATCAATTTCACGTTAACAAAAGTTAACATATAAAAATAAAAAAAAGACCGAAACAACATGAATTTAGACGACATTATAGTACAGGTGCTCACGGAGACTGATGATTATGCATTTATGTACGATAAAGATAAAAAAATGTCTAGCTATAATACTACATCGGCATTTTTGAATGCCGTCAAAGTGCGAGTAATAGATTCCCTCAACCAGGAGGTATCAGGTAAAAAATTATAACAGTCGAATTGTACTATAAATTAAAGTGATATATATTTTGATATAAAGTGTATGTGTTCTTTTATTTGTTAACAGACTTGGAAATCTTGAAGGCATGGCGAGCTGCGCGAGACAGATTTGTGAAGCTCAACAAAGAGCTAGGCACAGCCCGTTATCTTAACGATACAAAGCGAGAATATTTCCGCGAAAAAAAAGATGTTTTTAAGATGCTCAACAATTGATTTTTGCTGAGACGTTTCCGAGATCTTATTAAGATGTTTTTTTCTCGCCAAAAAAGATAATTTCCAGTTTTTTCGTCAAGTTTAAGTCTTTTTCGACGAGAAAAAAACATCTTTATAAGATCTCGGAAACGTCTCAGCAAAAATCAATTGTTGAGCATCTTAAAAACATCTCAAAGCATCTCACTGAGGCTCATAATTGAGACGTTCTTAAAAAGATCTTAAAAAGATCTTTTTTTTTTTCGCGAGTTATCTAAAATATAAGTTTTTAGAAGATCACATTGGCCATAAAAATGATGTTAAAGTTGCCAAGTGGGATAAGATTTATCCCGAAGATAATGGTCTTTCTGAAAAAGAAAGGGATGAGTTGAGAAATGCACTAAGTCCAGACACTTTCAAAATTCTTTTCCCCAATGATAATCAGAAGGATGAAGTTGATCTTTTGCTGAAAAATTTTCCAGATGTATCTTCTATTTTTGATTCAAATGGTGATGATTCAATTGGAGAAATTGACTTTCTGGATGAGTACAAGGACATTGTCATAGCTTCACTCAATAAGGTACCTAATTAGCAACATTTTCTTTCAATTTATAACTCAGCAACTATCAGTGACTAAAAATAAATTTCCCATGTGTTAGGACCAGTTGCAGAATGAAAAAGAATATGACTTGAAGGATAAGTCGCACCAAGAAAAAGAATATGACTTGAAGGATAAGTCTCAGAAAGAAAAAGATGACTTGAAGGATAAGTCGCAGGAAGAAAAAGAAGACGACTTGAACAGAGTGACAATTAATTGTCAGTTTATGCTTGATATTATAATAATTTTTTGTAAAGCCATCGAGGAGCTAACATCAATAGATGATCAATTGGAAGCCTTAATTACAATCTTTGAATCAGTTGAAACATTTATGAAACAATGAATTTAAATGTAATCTCATGTTTATTTTTATATTAATAAATAAAGTTCCTACAATAAAGATTCAAATAAAGAGTTAATACAATGAAATAAAAATAATTCAAAAGTTATTCATTAATATGATATTAACCTTACTATTTTTTATTCAATTACTATCAAACTAATGAAATGATTTTGTGGACTGTTTACGACATGATAGAATTATCATTGCTCATGGTTTTGGAAAAATCAATTTAATGATTATGTGAATTGTACTAGTTTTTGAAATATGAAACAAAGAATTCAATAATGCATAATAGTAGAAAAAAAGAGAGAACACGTCAATTAGATTACTTGAAATCATATTTGAGTTTAAAATTCACATGCTCATTGAAATTATTTTTCCAAGAACATGTAGAGTTATAACAATTATAACCGGTTTTTTTAGTAATACATGAAGACTACAGTATTCGACATTTAAAAATTCTTCAGAGAGAATTTTCGTGTGATCAAAACTAGTAATGTAAGTTTCAATAATAAATAATGTATGCAGTACCTTTCAAATTGTATAATTTATACTCTTGCCCATTGCCATGCGACAGCCCCAGCAGGTGAAACAAAGTAGTCTGCGAGTTGATTTCTGAGCTGTATAGCATTGAATTGCCTTGGAACTCCATCTTGGCAGTTTTCAATGAATCCAATTGGGGCATCAATCCAGTGATTTATAAATCCTCTTTCTTCTTGTAGCTCCATAGTAATTCTATAATTGTGGAGGCAGACAGTGGAAAAAATTATATCTTCACTTGTATCCAAGTTCCATCGTAGGTTCTGCTGATGAATTGCCCAAGTGTTATTCAATAATCCAAAAGCACACTCCACAGTCTGCCTAATATGACTCAATCTTTTATTGAAGATTTGCATATTTGGTGTCATATTGTGTACTTGCATGTATGGCTTCAGCAAGTAGTGCTTTAGGGGAAAGCCTCCGTCACCAATTAAAAAGAATGGTGAGAAGACATTGGAGCCTGGAATAATTTCTGGTTCAGGTAGAGATATCCTACCATTTTCCAGCCCTTCACAAATGTCACTATTTTTGAAAGTGAAAGCATCATTTAAAGAACCTGCAAAAAAGGTTTTTGTTTTAAACCATGTAAGTATCAATATGTTTGAAAAATTAATGTTTTTTTACCGTATCCTCCCAAATTTATCATGAGAAACCTCTTGTTGTAATCGCATATGGCTAACAAATTGATGCTGAAGAATTTTTTGTAATTGTAATAAGCACTACCTGAGTGCTTGGGTTTTCTTATATGGCAGTGCTTTCCATCCAACACGCCAACGCAATGGGGAAAGTCTAGAGCTTCAAATTCATATGCTACTCTTCTTAGATCTGCAACTGATGGTTTACGCAAATATCTGGGACTTAGGACAGTACCAATGATTTTGCACACTTCTGGTATGATTTTATACATTGTTGATTTTCCAATAGAGTAGAACGTTGCATTTTTGTATATGGTGTCACCCTTGGCGAGATAACTGTTATAAAACAATATTTGTTTAATATAAATTGCATGTTAAATACATGTTCATTATGAATTTATTTATTATGCTTACTTTAACACAGCTGCGAATCGGAGTTGAGGTGGTAGAGGAGGTCGGTTACTCATTTTAATTAAATACGGATGCACCATATCGTAAACAAAGTTGAACTGATGAATTGTAAAATTGGTAAACGAGTAAAATTCCTCCTCGTCACTCATTTTAAAGTAGCAAAAGACGCTCCTATAACCGCCATAACCACTTAAGTAATTATGAAGAATGTGTGGCTTTGCCCACCAACGTCTGGCTTTTTCCCTCACTTCATTTATTTCTATCACATTTCTATAAAGGTTCCAAACACAGAATAAATTGTTTATATTTTCTCCTGCTATCACTTCCATATTATTGTTTTGATGTTTTTGTCACGCAGATCTGCTCCGAAATTAATTTGAAGACTGAACGGCGCCACATGAACAAGACCGAAAATTGTGAGGTTAAAATTCGATAGAAGGAATATTTTTTATTCAAAGTTGGCACTATCCGTCCGATGCGTCCGAACGGAGTCCGAAACTCAGTTAAAAATCTTATGTAGAACCGCCCTCAATGCCACTAATCGCGCCGTAACTCTGTGTTTGTTACATTGACGTTCATTGCGTTTGAAATTATTTGCATCGAAACTCAAGCATACAGTGCATACGGGCGTGTACTTATCGTCTTGGTATATACACCACACGGACGCGCGACACACATACTATGCATATGGACTCACGACACGCATATACGCACACGGACGCATATGCCGCGCATACTACATGCATACGATACTATGCTTACGGACGCACACACGCGCATATACACGCGCACGGGAGCACATGTTACACACATATCACGTCAATTGCACACATTTTCACTTTTGCGGGGTTACACCTGCTATACACTCATTATTGGTTGTTAAAAAAAAGCAACACTTTTTACTTTGTTGACACTTTTATTTGAAGAAAAATTTATACACTGTGTTAAGTATATAATATTAATATATTATATTATATAACGACTCGCGCATGCATAAGGTCCCTGGGTTGCTGGCAAGCATTTTTATCCCTAGAAGTCACATATGCTAGCACAGCATTTATAGCTTTATTACCGGCGATCCGAGAAAATCTACCGGATATAGAAATAAGCAGAAGCAATATAAATATGAGAAATCATACAGCATTTTTATGATGCCAGAGCGATAAGCATGCCAGTGCTACTGTGGGACAAAAGCTCTCGAGTTTCGGCTGCTGTTGGAACAAAGGCCAGAAGAGCTGACGAAGCAACACGTGCAGCAATAGGACCCATCGAGACGAAGTGAGAGAACCCGGACTTCTATACTTCTTTACAACAACGAAGTCAGTTCTCTCGCGTCCCTCGATTAGAGAGCAAGTTGGACAGCACCTCTGCAGTCCCGCACCTTTGCGACTTAAACTCATACAGTCTCTACATTGCGCCTTCGCAATTAGCTTAAAATCATAATCAATAGTGCGAGTAAATAGTATATCGGTTTCATTAATTTATTAAATAAATATATTCACACCGCATATCAACCAATAGTAAGCAGTGTACCTTTACACTGCCAACTACACCAGGACCAGACCGCGACAACCGCAGCACGAATAAAGGAACTAAATCTAAAAGGAAATTAAATAAAGTGAGTACTTCTTTCTCTTGCTATCCCTCTACTCTCCGTCTTCTCTCGTCGCCGAGGGGTGGCCGAGGAGACGAGTGACGGTCAGTCATCAGCTACCAGGGTAGCGCGATTGGCGGGCAGACACGCGTGAGTCGCATCTCTGGCAAAGTAAATTAGCATATATACATATATACCAATATATATACATAGACCGCGGGCTCAAAAACCTAGAGCGCTCCTGTATAAGGAGTTGCTGAGGAACGTCCTTCCTTCTGGTACTCACCAGCGAGGAGAAATTAACCTAGGTCCCGACGGGGACCTAACACACTATTAAAGATATGCCTAACTAAACGTTCGCTCTTTGCGTACGTTATTCCATAGCTAAAAAAAAAAATTTTAATTACAAGTAAAAAATTAAGAAAAAAGAAAATGCTAAATTTGTACTTACTTTGCCGCATACTCTTTTCTCAAATATCGTATCTTCCTCTTCAGCCGCTTTACTTCCAGCTGACTTTCCTTTGAGACGCCTGATCTTAAGCGCCAAGAAATAAAGCGTGACAAGTTCCCTATTTCGTGCCTGTCTGCTTCTGCTTTCTGACATTCAACGAAAAAGTCCTTCGAGAACGTATCTTCCTATAAAATGTAATATTTATGAAATATATTTTTAAACAAATGGTTAAAATAACTTACCCCGCTGTTAAATACTTTAACTGTCAATTCGTGTGGATCGACGTAGATTTTGCAGTAGTTAAATGTCTCGGAGTTGTCCATGGCTTCGCTGCTGACGGACGAATGAGCCGTAAAGCTTGACGAATAAAGCAGTGCACACTCGGATGAATTGTAAAAAAATCTCGATATCGAACTCCGAGTCATTTTTTCAAAACATGAGCGCTCGTTGTCATAAATATTAAATCGCCGTACGTTTTTAGGAGCAGATCACGATGTCTGTAGAGCTATACGGATTTTTTCGAGCGAGCAGCGTGAGTACAATTATCGTGTGTATACTCGGTGCATTTATTAACTTTGTGATTTTATAGATGGCAAAGCTTCGACAAGGCAACAAGTAGGAGGAGAATCGCGACGTTTTACAATTGAAGAAGAATCGATCTTTTTCTCAAAGCGGTTTCAAGCAAAAGCGAAGAAAATTTCAATAAAAATTCTGCCCCCTGAGAGTGATATTTTGCCATGGGTCAAGCGTGCTGTGAATGATATTTTCGAGTATGTTAGAAGTGAGACAACATCGGAAAACTCGCGAATAGGTTTGAGCATAAGCAGCAAACATCTTTTAAGCGGCAGCGCCGGTCTTCCGATAAGGCCTATAAAAAATTTTTCAAACAAAGATTTAGTCGATTTGATTATGGGATTGGTTCAGTCCAATACCTCGTTTTATATAGATGAGCCCTTCGACTTGCATACTACCTATATCGATGTGCCTCACGGCTTCGGTCGTAAAAGGCAGCCGGTGGATATTAATACAGTCTCGAAACGCTTTATAATCATGATAAAAAACGATGATGATCTTTGCCTGCCGAGGGCTTTGATCATTGGTGAGGCGTATCTCGCGTATCGGAATGATATAACCGCAGAAGGCAAAAAAAATGGGAAAGAGCGAGAGACGGGCGTTATAGTCATCAGCTTGAATTAGCGTTGCAACTCATGCGAGACGCGTGCGTTACAATAGACGGGCGCGGTGCTGGTTACGAAGAAATCGTACAGTTTCAAGCGCACTACGATTTGAAAAAAATTAGTATCGTGGCTTTTGATAAAATAACATATGGTCAGGGCTCGAATCCGTTTTTCGATGGTAGAAAACCGGGCAATGATAAGGTCATCCATCTTTTGTACGATGGACGTGAAGAGCATTTTGACGCTATAATAAATCCTGTAGGTATCGTGAAAGATCCATATTTTTGTACTTTTTGTAATATTCGTTATAGGAGTATAAATTCTCATGTTTGCGAGAAAATTTGCGACGCGTGCTTTCAGCAAGGAAAATGCGATTCTTTGGTTGAAAAAATAAAATGCGAAAAATGCTATCGCTGCTCTTACGGTGTAAATTGTTTAGCGAAACAAACTGTCAAAAGTAAAAAATACTCGTTATGTGATATTGTAAAAATTTTTCAGCAATGTTTCGCCGTTATCAACATTCTTCGAGCTTCTCACGAATGCGGCGTACATTATTGCGACCATTGTAAAACAAAGCACAGTCCAAACGAATTATGCTTCATGAACCCCATAAAGGAGACTGGGCAAAATAATTTTAAATATTTGTATATTTTTCTCGATTTCGAGACTCGTCAAGATTCCGCGTACAAAAACCACGCCTCGACGACCCAGCATATTCCTACGCTGTGTATAGCGCATCAAGTCTGCACCGATTGCATACAAGACGACGATATGAAAAACATGTGCGGTACCTATGGTATTCGCGAATACGTATTTCAAATCGACCCCGTTGGGCAGCTATTCGATATCGCTATACGTGAAAA